TCATGTCCCCTGAAAAAGAAGTAATTGTTAGTGAGATGCACTCAGCTTCTCCCATTCCTTTCCCAAAAATTATGGCAGAGAGGACGAGGTAAAGACTCACCACACCCTGAGAGCCTGAGGACACTTTCAGCACATATTTTAGAAAAGGCTATTTCTTACCAAATTCTAGAGCTTTGAAGTATTATTTTTAATTGAAGTATAGTAGATTTACAAGGTGTTAATTTCTGGTGTACAGCATAGTTATTCAGTTATACATACATATTCCTTTTCATATTTTTTCATTATAAGCTATTACAAGATATTGAATATAGTTCCCTGTGCTATACAGTAGGACCTTGTTGTTTATCTATTTTATATATAGTAGTCAACATCTATAAATTCCAAATTCCCAATTTATCCATCCGCCTCCTCTTCCCTCTGGTAACTGTAAGATTTTTCTAGGACTGCAGATCTGCTTCTGTTTTGCAAAAAAATTCACTTGTGTCATTTTTTTAGTTTTCACATAGAAGTGATAACATATGACATTTGTCTTTCTGACTTAGTTCACTTAGTACAAAGATCTCCAGGTCCATCCATGTTGTTGCAAATGGCACTGTTTTATTCTTTTTAATGGCTGAGTAGTATTCCATTGTATAAATACAGGACATCTTCTTTACCCAGTCATCTGTACATGGGCATTCAAGTTGCTTCTATGTCTTGGCTGTTGTAAATAGTGCTGCTATCAATATTAGGGAACATGTATCTTTTCAAATTAGCATTTCCTCCAGATACATGCCTAAGAATGGGATCATATGGTAAGTCTATTTTTAGTTATTTTTAAGAAACCTCCATACTGTTCTCCATAGTGGCGCATAAATTTACATTCCCACCAACAGTGTAGGAAGTTTCCCTTTTTTCTACACCCTCTTCAGGATTTATCATTTATGGATGTTTTAATGATGACCATCCTGATGGGTGTGAGCTGATACCTCATTGTAGTTTTGATTTGCATTTTAGAAAACTCTGAAGTATTAATTTTACTACTTTTTTTCCAAAGAGAAAAGAATACTTACAACACTCTTACTTGTATTTTTTTTTAAATCTGATGGAAACAGCAGTATTGCCATGAAAAGATATGAAGGAACCTCCAATGCATATTGCTAAGTGAAAGAAGCCAGTCTGAAAAGACTACATACTGTATGATTCCAACTGTGTGACATTCTGAAAAACGCAAAACTCTGCAAACACTAAAAACATCAGTGGGTGTGCCAGGGGTGGGGGCAGGGGGAAAGAGAAGACGCAGAGCACAGAGGAATTTAAGGGCAGTGAAAACACTGTGTATTACGTAGAATACTTAGGGGATACATGTTATATACATTTGTTCAAGCCCACAGAATGTGAAACATCAAGAATGACTGCGGTGTAAACTGTGGACTCTGAGTGATTATGATGTACTCGCTGGTTTCACTGATTGTAACAAATGTACCACTCTGGTGGGGGATGCTGGTAACACGGGACGCTGTGCATGTTTGGGGATGGGGGTTATAGATGAAGTCTCCGTACTGTCTCCTTAATTTTGCTGGGAACCTACCACTGCTGTAAAAAAAAATTTAATTAAAAAAAAAGTAAGTCTTAATTCTTTTAAAGACTATTTTATGTCTTTTTAACATTATTATTCTGGTTCAAGTCACTTTTCAAGAACTTTTTTAAGGCACTTTTAAAGAACGTTCTTTGTGAATACACAGCCCCCAAGCAGGACCAGAGGCACAGGCCGTGTGAGCCAGCTTCCCTTTCTTGTACCCAGGAAGGTCTGAGTCACAGAGGGTCCTAGTGACCGATGCAGATGACGGTTAGTCAGGGTCAGGCTTTGGAGCATATGAGTATTTCTGACCACACTTGCACAATCATAAATACTAAGACTTTTCAAAGCTTTTCTGGACAGACTTCATTTTTCTGTGTTGCAAGTTTCCCTGAAACCCGATGTGTTCCTAGTGAGTGTTTCTAAAATGAGCTGTTAATACCAGGACAGGTTCAATCCCCAGGACCTCCACGAAAAAGTAAGTAAATAAATAAATGAATAAATCTCCTCCCTCCCTCCCCAGCTCCAAACAAACAAGCAAAAAAAAATTAATAAAGACTACAGGATTTAAGAAGACTAAAGGTAAATTTTATCTTTGCCAAGTTAGCTTTTCTTTAAAGAAAGTGCCGGCTTCAGCACATGGTACTGCTATCCTGATCCTGTTTTATCCACTCTTCTTTACCTACCATTTGTGTGGTGCATATTTTGTGCACAAGTAAACAGAAGCCCTAAAAGTCCGTAACTTCTATCTCAATGAATGTCCTTGATTTCTCCTCTTCCACTCTTAAGCCAGCTGGGAAGGTGGCTGGGTTTCTCAGCGCACTCACACGTGCCACAGTTGCTTTGCTTTTCACAAATGGTTTACTTCCCAACGTTCTATGAAATTCAGGCAAGGCAGACGTTATTTTCTGTATCAACACGGAGCTGCGAGCAACAGGGACCCATGCGTGTATCTTCAGTTCACGCTCAGAAGCAGACGTTTTGGTGGAAAAACAGACGCTGATGTCTGTACACTCCCCCCGGACAAGGAGCCGCATTAACTAGTCACTGTTCTGAGCCTCAGTGTCCTCGACTGTTAACTGAGGACATGAAACCCTTACTTTATTTAGACTGATTTTCTCAACAGTCATTATAACCCATAGTTTGATGCTTCATATCTGATACTCCCAGGGGTCTCCAAACAGTAGATTGGCAACAGATTCAAACGTAGTTGTGAAACAAATGGTTGAAAAAAAAATATTATAAGGAGGAAAGAATGGTAGAAACCATGAGACATAATGATAATAAAGCAATGGTGTATATAGCAGGGTTTCTTACTGGGGGTGCAGGGTGACTTCCGGTGTCCGCGACCCCCTGATGTTACATGTAAAATTCCGTACGTATGCACCTGTGTGTAATTTTCCCAGAAAGTTCTTTCTTCAGGTCTTCAGGAGGGTCTGAAACCTTCCCTTTTCCCCCACATTGGAGCTGAGGGTGGTTTCTCTCTGAATTCTTCAGTGAGCTGGCTGAATCTTGTTTTGTATCATAAACATATTTTATTTATGGTTTGTGTTTAAGTTTGCATTCCTTTGCCCCTTTAAAAGCTGACTGAGAACTATTCAGAATTCATTCAAATGACTTCTCTCAGAAGCACTCAGTATGCCCTGTGTTCATTAATTTTTTCTACCTCAATTTATGCTGATTTTTCTACCCATGATGAACATTCTCCAGGTACCAAGCTCCTAATTAAATATGTTGAAGTGATTTAGGATTTGGGATTATTGTGTAATTATTTGTAGCCAACAGAATTAGTTATCCCTAAAAGATTTTTTTCTAGCTGTTTCCATGGCTGATGAAAGGAGAATGTCTCTCCCAACTTGGGAAGTTCTGCCTTAACTCTGGCTTTAACTGGTCAGAACCATAAACAAGAGACCTCAGGGCTCTTAGCCTTACTTAAGAAGCCTGTTAAGTCACCTTCAAGTTTTTTGTTTTGCTTTTGCCTTCTAATACTCTTCCTGGCAGTCTTGATTCTTACTGCTTTCTTGCTTTTTCTAGAATAATCTGGAAATTTTAAAGTATCTTATTATTTTTTTTAAGATAAAAATTTTTTTAAAATTTGAAGTATAGTCAGTTTACAATGTTGTGTCCATTTCTGATGTACAGCATAATGTTTCAGTCCTACATATGCAGACTACATTCTTCTTCATATTCTTTTTCATTATAGGTTACTACGAGATACTGAATATAGCTCCCTGTGCTGCACAGAAGGAATTTGTTGTATATCTGTCTTACATATAGCAGTTTAAAGCACCTTATTATTGACACATATTGATTTTATAAGTATGTTTCAAGATAAACAAGTGCAGCCGTTTTTACCATGAAAAAAAAACTATATTTTAGGTGTGAAATCTTTGGTAAGGTATTGAAAATATTGTAGCTTAAAGATAATTCCCAGAGAGAAGGGGGAAGTGAGGAGGCATTCGTCAAAGGATTACACAAGATGAATGCGTCCTAGAGATCTACTGTGGGACTACAGTTCACATACACACACAATTATTAATAATATGGGGCAAGAGGAAACCTTTGGAGGTGATGGATGGGTTTACGGCACAGATTGTGATGATGATTTCATGGATGTATATTTATCTCTAAACTCATCAGTTTGTATACATTAAATACATACAGCTTTTCGTATGTCCATTACACCTCAACAAAGTGGTTTTTCTTTTTAAAGGGTAATTTCCATTTGCAGAGTGCTTCAGTTCTTAACACATTCTCTCATGTATTGCCCCGTTTATTCATCCAAGTAACCCAGCAAAGCAGGAGTTACTAACCACACTTTACAAATAAGGAATCTGAGGCTTGGAGGCTTTGAGCCCCTGGTTACCTACCTACACCCGGCAGAGGTCAAAGTCAGAAGTTTTGAATCCAGGGATGGCCTCCCCACATGCCTGTCTCCTGGTCTCTTGGTTTTTATCTTAAACTTCATTAAAGACAAACCTCAAGTATATATTCTTATATTAATAGACACTGAGAAACGGGATAGAATAAAATTCTCCAGACCAAGGTTTTTGTTTTTGGCCATAGATCCTTGGACACTATGGTGAATTCCTTCTCAAAATAGTATTTATAAATATGTAGAATGAAAGTACATACAAAGGAATACAGGAAATCATTGAAAATGAAAATATTGAATTTTTATTGGTAACAAAGTGCTAACCACCGTGATGCACTGCCTATATTCATAATAAGGGGAAATGCTAAATTTCACTTAGAGAATATTGAAAATGGAGATGTAACTTTTTTTCCCCTCATCCGTGTTTGTAGACCCCTTAAATCAGGACCCTGGGAATAGGAGCCCGCCCTGGACTCAGTCCGGGAGAACACAGCCCCTGGTCCACACTCCAGCAGGTGGCATCAAGCCCTTTTTCTCTTTTGAAATGATGAGAAGAGCAGCACTTACCTTCCAGGGTCTCACACTGGACCAGGTTGACGTAGTCCTGCTGGGTCAGGAGGCCGGCTTTGCACCCCCGCACCAGGCCCTCCAGGTAGCCATGGTCCACGTTAAAGCAGAGCTCGGCACCCTCAAGCATGGGGGACGCGACCACTGCTGAAGCAGCTCGGCGTCCCGGTCACCTCGAAGACTGGCCCCGTCTGGAAACAGTGCCAGCAGCGATCAGGAGTTCTCTCTCAGCTGATTGTCAGGGTTTTCAAGACTAGTTTCCTCCGCCTTCAGTGACTGTCCACACAGCGTGCCCAGCCCTGTTTTTCCATCAACAGTGAATCAGCTAGATAACCCGGGTGAACCCAGGAAGCAACCCCCTGCAGGGAGGGGGGGGTCAGGGCTCTGCCCTCCCCCTCCCAGAGCAGCTGGCCCCTCCCCAGCTGTGCTGCCCCTGAAAGGTTTGAAAACATCCCTCCCCCATCTGACCTTGTGAGCTTTCAACTGTAAATTACATTTGTCCTAAATGTCTTGAGGACTATTAGTAGGAAGAAAGAGAGGGCTTTAAAAAAAATTAACTTCTGTAAAGGCGAGCAGGCAGTTTGAAGAACCCCGAGAAGCTAATGAAGCAGAACTGGTGTTTGTGAGACACATGGCCAGTAATGCCGGAACGTGGCCAAAGACGGGTAGCTGGTCCCCTCCCCACCCCCCACTTGGGGCAGAGACCAGAGAACAATCCTGAGAACAGACACAGTGTTGTGATTCTACAATAACAAGCAAATAATAAGCACCTTGCAAAATCCGACCCTTTAATAAGGCACTCTGCATTTTGTTTTTACCATTTGAATCTTATGTTGCTCAGATGAGAATCTGCCCTGATAGTATTATTACCCAAATCACAAATAAAGGGCCAGCTCTCAGAAGCCATGAGGCAAAACAAAATGCACAGTGTAATTAAGCCAAGACTTAACTGTTGTGTCACACAACCAAAAGGAGTGCTGGTTCTCCCCAATACTTAGTTCAAAAATTGTATCAAATATTCCCAACATGATTTTACATATATAGTATTTCACTTTCATACATATTGTGTCAAATTCTTAACTAAAGTGTCAGAAATCCTCCAGTCTCTTTCTCAGTATTTCCAAACTGGGAGAAGCTAAATAAGATGGAGTCAATGTAAATTCTGTTTCAGTTGCTGAAAATCAGAGAACCAGGTTTTCAGCACAGTGCCCAACACTTTGAAAGTATTCAACACACAGTAAAGGTTCTTATCATTATCTTTATCATTATCCACCCGCCACCCCCAATTACAGACTCAGGCTCAAAACTCAAATTTCAACTGAAACCTCCAAACAACATACCCAAACTCCTGGGGTACATTTTTGGTTGAATCATAATGAACTTACCACTTTTGTGGATTAAAAGTGCATTGCAGATCAGCAGTTTATACAGTTCAATTTAATGCAAATTTACAATTAGATTAATTACTAAAACAAACCCCTTGCTTCCTAATCATTTTACTATTATTTATTCACGTGAGTTTCTTTATGTCTGTTGTATGTATATAGTAGATGCTTCACGTAACAGTGCACTATCACGCATCTCTTCTCAACGCTGGGTTGAATGATGTTGCAATGGTAGCTTAAAGTGGATCATGGTGAGTGTATTGGAACTACACTTGTTTGTCAACTGCAGCCGTAGATTGACTACAGATACTAGAAATGAATACAGATGAGTGAAAGTGTTGCCGGAGATTAGGTTCTTGCCTTGTGCAGGAAAGAATTCAAGAGCAAGACGTGGTAAAACGAAAGCAAGTTGACTTAGGGAGATACACATTCCACAGACAGAGTGTGGTCCAACACACTCAGCAGGTAGAATGGCTTAGAAGATGCACACTGCATAAGCAGACCGTGGGCCATCTCAGAAAGGTGAGAAGGAGAGAGACCGAGAGGTGTGGGGGTGTTAGTTTAAACTAAAAGCAGATAAACACTCCATAGACAGAATTCAGGGCCATCTCAGAAGGCAAAAGAGAGCAACCACGAGGTGCAGGGTAGTTCGTTTTTATGGACTTGGTAATTTCATATGCTAATGAATAGGAGGATTATTCCAACTATTTTGGGAAAGGGGTGGGTACTTCCAGGAATTGGGCCCTGCCCACTTTTTGACCTTTTATGGTCACCCTAGGAACCCTCATGGTACCTGTGGGAGCACCATGAGGCTCAAGGTCTACTGGAAGTGGAATCTTCTGCCATCTTGGTTCCAACCAGTTGGTCCTGTCCTCAGTGGCTGTGTCATTCCTTCAATGGCTGTGCCCTGCCCCCTTCCCTCCTGTCTCAAAAGCATACTGTGAAAATCAACGGACTATATGGAGTTTACAATCAAGAGTATTATTTTATTGTTATTTGTAAATTGAGTGATATACATTCTTTATTCTTAATTTTATATCAATAAAATTTATGATAAACACATACACATATTTTGGATTGAGAACCAGTTGTTAAACTTGTACAGCACAACACAAAATCTTCATAGTTTTGCTTAGAACTAGCCCTGAATGTCGACATGCTCAAAAGGGAGAGGATTTTGTGTGTGTGCAAAAAACTTTCAAGTTGTCATATTTTATATTTACATGTAGAGACAAGTTCCAATGTTTCTTTAAAATGATAGAATGTTAAGCCTGGACCAGATATAGTACTTGTCTCCCTTCATAACATCTTATTGTTCGGCGACCTTATGTAGTTTCTTATTACAAAATCTGTTCTAGGGCAAAAATTTTAATCCGATTAGAAAAGTACAGAAACTGGTCACCACTCCTAATATTTAGATAAAATATTTATGTAAGAATAGCTATAAAGCAAAGGTAAAAAGTTCAAAACTCTGTTTATTTTAAAAGATGAAGGGCCCTCACTTACTTTAGTCAAAATTCTATATTCTGTCTAGCAGAGGAGTGAACATCTACCTGAGAAAGTTGATTTTTTTCCCCTTACATCTTGTTCAGTCTTTATTGTTTTCTGCTCACCAGAGCAATGTATCCTTTTTGCAAAGAGTTTTAACCATTACAGAAATAGGTGAGATGAATGTCCCTCTAGTACACTCCTAAGAGACAGCCACTGCCCATAACTTGGGCGAACACTGAAAGCGGTTACTGAAACTCCAAGCTATTTGCTTTGGAGTTTAACACTTAATTTTTCAAAAGGTCATTTTGGTTTTGAACCACAAGAGGTCACCATAACATTATGGCAGGCATCTTTTCATTTGACTTACCTGTCAGAAAACGCGATTCAGCTGAGTAACTCTGAAGGTATAATTGGTTTCATTCAACAATTCATGAACCTGGAAGCATCCCATCCAGCAGCCTGAAGGGGGCTCCCAGAAGCGGTACAAGACAGTAGGGTTTTATGGAAAGGATGGTGGGACAAGGAAGTCATTAATACGAGAAAAGAAAGGATTATTTGGGGCAAGACATCTTCCTTTTGGAGGGAAGGGACGCAAGGGTTTTATCATACAGATTGCCTCTCCTTCCTCTGGGGTGGGGGTGTGTGCGGATAGGGCCCACGCGCTGACCAGAAAACCCCAACTGCTTGATTCAGATTACATTTCTGAGGAAGGCTGGAACCACAGTTAGGTTAGGCATTAAATCTAGGTTTGGTATCTTGAGCTTTTGCACGAGTGACATCTCTTTAACATGCATTACCTGTACACTTTTTCAGTTAAAAAAAAAGTCACATTGAAGTTTAAACAAGTGACTTCTGGTGGTTTGCATGGATGTTTTTAGACCTCTCACCAAGGAGCAAGGAGTTCTACCCCTCCCTGTGTCTTACTCTGCTTCCCAAACCATCCCTGGTCTTCATCATAATGCGAATCCTTCTTCTCTTCCTCCGAAACGGCAAATGATTTTTCACCTTTGCTTCTGTTCTTTCACAGCCTGGTTCCACTTATCCTACATGTTCACTGCAACTTCTCTTGTTTCAAGGACTTGCTCTTGTAAACAAAAAGAGCAAAGTTCCCCAGAGGGGTGAGTCACAACCCACTGTAGTCGCCCACCAGCAGTATCTCTGAATTCAGGAACTTCAGGATGGAAAAAACAAGCTGTAACATTCTGTGTTTTGGATTAAGTCCTTAGATAGTTAAGGTGCATATTTTAGGAAGAATTTCAATGACCCCAGATTCTTGCCTTTTCCCAGACATAGAAAAGCACTACACTCATTGACTTAAAACATTTTTTCTTTGTGATGAGTAGTAATCTTTTACCAAGATGTATGCTTGACTATGTAGTCTTCCCCCGCCAAAAATTCATGTATGTACTGGTTCCTTCCCTACCCCTTGGAACAGGTCCTCAGAGCCTTCTGAGAGGCTGTCCCCAGCCTATAGTCCTCAGTAAGGTCCCCGAATAAAACTGAAACTCACTGCTCCTAAGTTGTGTATTTTTTTTTTTCCTTCAAGGGGACAGTTTCTTGAGAGATGTTCTGTGAGGTAAAGAAAACGGTGAACAGTTAGAAAGGTTATCCCGTCTTGGCCAATCAAAATGCGTAATAACTCATTGAATTCTCTGAGAAATCCTTTGGTGATAAAGTGGCTTAACATTAAAACAGCGTTTTCTAAACAACTGCCCAGGCAATGGCTTCCTTTGTTTGGGCAATTAATGTCTTTAACAACCTGAAGAAGTAGTCTTCTTTAGAATATTATTTGAGAAATTCTGATCTATAACATTAATTATTTTTTAAAAAGTTATAAAATTCATATATCACAGTATTGTATAAATATTCATTTTTCACTTTAAAAAATTTTACAATTTTGAATTCACATGTATTTTAAAATGTAATAGCCTTACAATGTTCTCTTCTCCCTCCAAATAGTTCCTATTTTTAATTTTTTTTGTCTTGATGGCGGTGATCCCAGGACCCGTGTTGCTACAGCAGTAGGTTTGTTTGGTAATCACATGAACCAATGATGGAAAATTCACCAGTGGGAATAATAAATAGCACTGTTATGCTGAGAGCACTATTTCTAGAAGAAAATAAGAACTAAGAAAAACGAATTATGAGATAGAAAGGTCATTAATTTACACTTTTATAAAGGTTATTATTACACATTATATTTGCATTATTAAAATGTCACAGAAGAAAGATTTATAATCAGAAAAGGGTTTATACATATGAACCTTATAATCTTAGAGTAAGAAGGGATATTATCAGAGATAATTTGATAAAATGTCATACCAACTGAAGAAATAGGGAGGACCTCATGGCTTTTTGTGGCTAATCATTAAATTTCCAGATATCTCCGAGAACTAGAAATATCTGTTTCCTAGTAAAGAAAGACATGCTTGCATGGAATTCCAACCAGCTAGATATGTTTCTGCAAGATACAGGGCTTTTTTTTTAAATGACTTTTTTTTGTTTGCCAAATTCTCTTAAAAGTTGTTACAAAAAT